AAATCGATTCTTTGGTTTGTGTGTGAAAACAGTCAGAGATATTTTAAAATTAGATATAGTAGAAATGTATTCAATGATTCCAACAAATACTTCTATAACCATCGCATGTCTAATGTCACCAAAACATTTGGTAGATTGAAGGGCATGAAAACAAAATTTGTATTTGATTAATAAATAAAAAAAACGAAATTTTTGAGTTAAAATGACATGCTTTTATACATCAACAAGACTTTAAAGTTAGTTTTGACCGCTTCCCATGAAAATTACAGCACAAACTCCTGGTGTTAACCAGAGTATGATGAATAAGAATAGTAACCATTTCATTGAGATATTATTTATTTATTTTATGTACCTATGTTTTATTTTCATGAGCACTCTCATTGCACTCAATTTTATTTTAGAATGTTTTTATTGTTATTCATTTATTTATACATTTCTTTCAATGCATTTAAAATACGACAACCAGTTTCTTGGGGTTCTTTTTTAGGAATGTTTTGATTACATTACATATTTAAATCATTCATAAAATTCTATTGTGCCGTTCCGAACAATCGTTGTGGAATAAGCTTCAAATTTAAATAAAATGTAGTTATGCAGTCCACCTGTAGGGCTTCAACACCCTTTCACATAACTCAACAGATCAAATTAAATTTAGTGACTTCAGTTATAAAAATTGAGTGAGTTTAATTAATGCTCGCCATTTATGTAAACTGAACTCACTTCCTGTTTAGGTTCACATAATAGCACCTTCAGATCTTGTCTAACATTCCCATATAATGATTCATTTATATTAACTATTTATTGTGTACACAAACATACCTTTTGCGTTAATGATGATTATTTAAAAAATTATAATAAACCGTTGCACTCAAAAGAACACAATCCCATTGATAAAAGTAATCAAATACTTAATTCGCTATAACCAACACGATTTAAAGTAATAACAACAATTTACAAAAGTTTGACACACACATACGTTTGTCATTCATTTTATTACATTCTTTTTTTTAGGAATTTTATGACCTGGTAACTAAGACTTTTAAGTCATGTCTTATTTTAATTTATATTCTTATTTTTATGAAAAATGATAATATGGAGTGAAATAAAATGAAGATGATCAATTTGAGACATTAATCAACTGGGTTAAAATTAAATGATATGAAATGAGATGAAATGGGATGAAATATAGTCTCAGCAAAATGGTGGTCATTTACTGAGATTTTTTCAGTGGACTTTGTGGAGGATCCCGCGAAGCTATGTGCAGCGGCTTTGTTTCCCTTTCCCACATCTGTGCACTTTCACAGATATTAAACAGTTAACAAAACGACCGTCTGTTGATAACAGGATTCCGGTTGCAACAAGATATGCGTGAACTGTTGAGCCGCCGGATTCCGGTTGCGAATAGTCCGGAATTTGGACTCTTAACAGATATTCACTATTATGTTTTATTCTTTCTAACACATTTAAAACTGTACCTAATGAATGGACCTTCCCTCTCGCACATTATTTTCGACAAAATAACTGACAGGACAGCGGCTGTGTGAATCAGTCTGAAATTCGAGCTTCGAGCGGTCGGACGTATAAGTCAATTTCGAATAAATTTATCGGTTTTGTGAAATTTTTCGTAGAGAACATGGAATCGTAAGTATTAATTCATTATATTTTATCAACATGGAGTAAATGTTATTTGCATTTTATGACAAAACCGTTTTTGAAGTCCGGTTACGTGAAGGTCAAGCCATTTTTTGAACCTAACGGTCGTTTTTAGTTGGTCGTTTTTAATAGAAAAATTAATAAAATCCAAACGATTTTTTGTAATGAGATCAATATTTTAATGAACTTCAATATAAGTATTACAAAGGACATGTATCTTAGTCGTAAATTTAAAAACTTCGAATTCAAAGATACGAACACACCAATGCGTCCGGATTCCGGGTTTGACAGCCCATGCTGAAAAACAAAGATACGGTGCATTCTGATATCAATTTGATATCAATTTGATATAAAAAAAATTATTGATTTTTTTTGTTTGTTTTAGATATTTGATTTTTTTAAATTTTGTACCAGTGATTGGATTCTTTGCATAAGCCGACTTCTTGAACTAATTTATACTTTTTTATTTGCATAGATGGATGAACGAGCCCACCTGGTGTTAAGTGGTTACTGGAGCCCATAGACATCTACAACTTAAATGCGCCACACACCTTGAGATAAGTTCTAAGGTCTCAGTAAATTCACAACGGCTGCCCCATCCTTCAAACCGAAACGCATTACTGCTTCACGGCAGAAATAGGCGGGGTGCTGGTACCTACCCGTGCGGACTCACAAGAGATCCTTCCACCAGTAATACTTTTTTATTTCCAGCCAACGTGATGCAGCCCGTGGCCGAGGAAGAGGTGGTCGTGGTGGCGGTCGTGTCCGTACGCGTGGTGGTAGTCGCCATCAAGCCCGGCCTTTGGCCTCTGAAGCGTAACTACCCTTATTTTTATAAATTTTTGTTTGTTTGTTTTATTGCATTGATGGGTGGACGAGCTCACGGCCCACCTGATGTTAAGTGGTTACCGAAGCCCAGATACATCTACAACTTTTTACACAAGCTTATTTCATATACAGTCAAAACCGTTTACTGGACATCGTTTAGAACAACATGTCGGTTATAATAACCTAGAACAAAGGTCCCGGCTGAATGCTATATGCCTGCCTAATTAAAAACATTGCTTTATACAACATTGCTAATACCGACATACCTCATAAAAAGACCACATTTAACTAATATTTCGGAGAATTAGATCTGTGAGAACGACCGGTCAAGCTGTATTGTAAACAATTTGAATAGGTATCCACATCTGTCTTCAATGGCCATTAAAATCAGGAAAGAAAACAATAGGACTTTGTTTAGTGTCGGGTCTTTTTAAATTCTCAGAAATAAAGAAACAAAACATGTGCTTGCAGTTACTGTACCAACTTTGAATGATGATATAAATTTGTCTTCAATGGCCATTAAAATCAGGAAAGAAAACAATAGGACTTACTTTAGTGTTGGGTCTTTTCAAATTCTCAGAAACAAAACATGTGCATGCAGTTACTGTACCAACTTGGAATGATGTTTTAAATGACAATGCCCAAAATCAGCACTGCGTTATAATAAAACAGTGTAGCCACAACACTATACTCAAAAATAATAAAATATTTTTTAGATTTTCTTAGTTCATTTGATCGAAATCGTATGTGGGGTTAACTTTATGTGTTTAATTAGTTATTTTTTTGATTTTATTGTATTATTTGAGTCGTCTATTATCAAAGATGGCAATCTGTGCATTTGGACAAAAAAAAAAGTTAGTGATATGGCAATACAGATTGATTTGAATATCAATCGTCTCCTTCAAAGAATACGGTTCAAAACCTGCATTAAAAATAAAGTATTAACTTAACCTGTTATTTATCTAAGATGTCGTTCAGAAGAGTTTTGTGATTGCCAATGGAATACAAAGTCAATAATTCGTTTTTCTGATTTACCAATAATTCTCCAAAAGTCACATTGCCGGCTTTGATAATAGTCGACTCATTTTATGACTGAAAGCAGTGTTGTCAATTTTAAGAATGTCCCCATAATCAGTCTTTACAAATAGTGTAAGGGCAGACGCTGAGTTTTAAAAATAATTTCAACTATGTCAGTTTTCGGCGTTATGAATATTTTAATTAATAATTAACATATATTACTATAAAAATATACACAAAATATATTACTATACTAATTAAAAATCTTTCTTTAGTTGACAAAGCACATAAAGTCAGGGAAAGTGAAATTAACCGTTGGTAGCACTATACGGTACGGAAAAACATGAATTGTCAAAAATGTCATGTCTTGTCAAGTAAAACAGAGCAGTTGTTTTTACTGATAAATACTGAGTTTATTGTGCTAATTAGATGTGTACTAATCATGTTCGGAAAAGGATTGAACATGACATCGTTCTTTTGAGTGTCGGAACTAGTTCCAGTAAACATGTAGCTAACAAAACTAGCGAAAGTGGTGAATGTTTTAAAATTCTCTAATTTTGAATTATGATTTTCTAAGAAATGGTCTAAAAACACTTAAGGCTAAGTGCTCGTAGGAATGATGCATGGTCAAGGTCAAAACCCATAGCAAAACATTTTAATTTATTCAACTATGGACTGTAACACGTAGGTCGTAGTGCATAACTTCAATATTCATAAAAATGTAATATGAAAGAGCTCCACACACGCAGTTGCATGCACTCGCTCCATCTCACTCCCTCGTATTCGGACTATTTCGGACCATATTTTGCCTTAGCTCTACGTGGACTCGTGTCGGTTCGGGACTCGTTCGGGTCGATTCGCCGCGCCGCGCGGCACCTGTGCTCTAAATTCCAGGAACTTTTTCGGTCCGGAACTACACATGTCTAGTGCTAATAAATAACTTATCATTTCGTTGAGTTCGTGTCCAGTAGAGTCTCGGGATTCCTGCACGCTCAAGAATATTTTTAAAGACTATTGTACCTATTGTTTCTGAGCTGGTGGTCCGGATTGTGTAGAACGTTTTTACAACGGTCCGTGTCTCTGTGCAGTAAATCACAACGATTCTGTTAAAAATGTCAAGCTGTGTGGTGAACTGTGCCCTTTCTCTGGTACTTGGTAATTGTAATAATACTCTCTGGTAATTGTAAGTTTGTGCACTATTGTGATTGTATTTTCAACGCCAAGACTACCTACACTAAAGAAAAATATTAATAAAGACAAACAATATTTAATCTATAATTTAATTTATATTCTCTATTTGACCACAGACGTCAAGAACAAAAGTTTGACAATAAATAAATAGTATGCACGCGTGTGTGTGTCAAATACATGGTAGTATATGTAATGTTTTCTTTATTGATTTAATGTATCTTTTGAGCATTATTTAAAAAAAAAAAATTAGCATTATGCACTTCTTCTCTATATTCTCTATAAGTTTTCGTAAAAAGGGATACAAAGTTTTTGCTTCACGTATTAATATATAGATGTATGCATTTCAGACTTCAATCGAGGCTCATTGAAGAGTTGCTGCCCGGTCGCCCACTGGAGAACCCACGGCACCCTAAGAGGGCAAGGGTGCTCCCTCCTAAGGTCGGGAAACACCCAGGGTGTGTATTCTGGTACTTTTAAATATATTTAAGTTTTTTAATAGCAAAACAGTATCTGTAGCTTTATTTTCAGATCGGAGTTCTGGAGACCGGACCTGGATGCTTCGGTGCCATCACCTGCCCTGTAACTATGTTATTCAATAATATAACCTATTTTATAAATAAATAATGAAAAATATACTACAGAAACTAAATTTTTGAGCCATTAAATTAATTAAATTTTTATTCAATAATTATTGGTTAGTTCGAAATCAAAGAAAAACTTGAATTTTTAGATGAGGTGCCTTACTTGATTTTTTTATTTTATTTTGTACTCATTTCTTAAAACAATTTTTTTGTAGATATTTACAATGTGGGCCTGGGAGTAGCCGGGCTAGCACCCCGGTCATGGAGTGGCCCGGGACTAGCGGGGCCAGCACTCCGGTTATGGAGCGGCCCGGGCTTAGCGGGGCCAGCACTCCGGTTATGGAGCGGCCCGGGCCTAGCGGGGCCAGCACCTCAGCCACCGAGCGGCCCGGGACTAGCGGGGCCAGCACCTCGGCCACCGAGCGGCCCGGCACTAGCGGGGCCAGCACCTCGGCCACCGAGCGGCGTGTGTAAGTATACATTTTTTACACATGCAAATAAATATATTTTTATGTCTTTTTTTTTATATGTGTTATTAAATATTCTTTCTATTTTGTAGTATCCCTTCGTCCTCTCGACCTCCTCGTCCTCTTCGCGAAGACGAAATTATAGCACTGCTGAATTACGGTAAGTACATTATGACATCAACCTTTTTATCGATACTCGCGAAAGTAAAATACCTATAAAATCGAAACCATAACAAATAACTATTTTCCTTTCAGGCAGCGAAGAGGACTCTGAGGGAGAGGACGAAGAAATCCTGCAGCCGTCGCTGGTTCCCCGGGCGACCAGGATGTGGCTGGACGAAGAGGATGAGGAAGTTGAAGAGGAAGCGGAGAGGCTTAATATTAATTTGGAGTGGCCTCGACCTCCTCAACCTCTTCGTCCATCCGCATCTGCTCCAGTGGACGTCTCACCGACGTCCACATTAGATCCTATATATAAGTTTAAATTCGAATGGAGAAATATCTCAATGCCTCAAATAGAACCTCATTTAAGGCGAGAGCTTTTCTCCGAAATTATTGGTCCATCGGTTTCTTTCGCGACTCCGTACGATGCATTTATTGCCATATGGGATCGTGAAATTATGCAAGTCATAGTCACGGAAACCAACATTTATGCACAGCAGCTGGCAACGGCCATGTTGGCGAGTGGGACGATCGGCCCTCATAGTCGGATTACTCGATGGCAAGATACGAATGTAGACGAACTTTACACGTATTTTGCCATCGTTCTGGCTATGGGGGTGGTCGTCAAAAGCTGCTTAGAAGATTATTGGCATACCGCTCGGGATATTTTTTATACTCCGGGCTTCGCAGCGGATATGTCATATGACCGTTTTCAGCTGCTGTCCAAATGCCTCCATTTCAATAATAATGAGTATTGCGACATTACAATGTTGACACGACGCCAGGCCAAGCTCTACAAAATTCAGCCCATAGTAGACCATTTAAATACAAAATTTTCGGAGCTGTACAATTTGAGTCGAAATTTAGCAGTGGATGAGAGTTTGACGATGTGGAAGGGCTGGCTTGATATAAACCAGTTCATTCCTAACAAGGCAGCGACAATTGGGATCAAAACTTATGAAGTGTGTGAATCGCGGAGTGGTTACCTGTGGCGGTTTGAAGTTCACGCAGGCCATGACATCTCGACTTCACAGGACGATCCAATTTCTGGCACAGTACCAGCTCTCGTGCTCAGACTTTTAAGTGGTCTTGAGCATAAAGGGCACACAATATGGATGGATAATTTTTATAACTCTCCAGCGCTAGCCCGAGAACTTAAGACCCGCGGCTTTGACTGCGTGGGCACACTGCGGACTAACCGACAATTTGTGCCGTACGAATTGACGTCCCTTACAAAAAAGGATATGACAGTCGGTCAAGTGACGGGATGCACCTCGGGAGATGTGGATCTTTTGGTGTGGAAAGATAAAAACCGGGTGGCTTTTATTTCCACATACCATGGTCTCGCATCTGTTAGGTTTGAGGAAAGACTGAAGCCGACTGTCGCTTGCGATTATAACGTTTGTATGGGCGGAGTAGACCGCAAAGACCAGCAGCTCGCAATGTACCCCATAGAAAGAAGAAGGACAAGAGTTTGGTACAAGAAGTTGTTTAGAAGGCTCTTAAACGCTAGTGTCTTGAACTCACACATACTACACCAAGATCATTCATTTTCACATCGTAATTTCCGGACGGTGTTGATCACTCAATTATTGACTAGACATAGAAAACGTCCTCCACCTAGCACACAACTCACACCAACACAAGTGCATTGCCCGGCACAATATGACTTGATCAAAAGCGGAAAATCCGACCGCCTTAGGCAAGCATGTATCGTCTGCTCCAAGTGGACTAATTCATATTGTAGAGCCTGTAACCAGGCAATGTGCACCTACTCCTGCTACGGGATACACCACGCCACAAATTGACACTTTACCGCTCATTGACACTTTTTATACACACACGCCCACGCACACACACAGGGTATATAGGCACTAGTGTTAAAGATATTTCTTGTAGCCAGACGAACATACCTGATGGTGAGTGGTTACCATAAAAAGTTGCGACGAGCATACCTGATGGTAAGTGGTTACCGTAAAAAGTTGGTGGTTTGTTATTGTTACCATTCATATTGTTGCACAGTACTAAAAAAATGCTGCATGTGTTGTACTTTTTTTTTGTTATTTGCCGAGTTATGGCCAGCGTCGTGTCAACAATGGAATTCACAATTATTTATTAAATATATTGGCACATAAATTAAGTATCAATTGGATCATTGTGAGTGTTGGGTTATTGTATTTCACAATTTAATTTATGTGCGATCTTTTAACTGTATGGTATCTAGGTACGATTAATTGCAAGTTACCTAGTTGTTATAATTTTTTTTTCATCGCCAAATCACTAAAACACGTTTTTAAATACAAGGTCAAACAATTTTATCTATCATCAACCGAATGATCATGGTTCTATACTCTTCGCATATACGAGTGTTACTGTGTTACTTATAATATTTGCTATGTGTATGTGCTATAATTCTCATGTTGTATTTGTTATTTTAGTTATGTGTTCTACACACACTTATCACTTTTTATTATTATTCTCATTATCCTCTCGCAGGTCTGCTGGAAGAGATTTCTCAAAGAAATAAGCAGTGCCTTTGTACATAATTTTCCTATTACTCTGTACTGTGTCTTGTTTTCTGTGTGTACATAAATAAATAAATAAAAATAAATAAAACACATGTTTATTTGATCTATCAATCAAATAGGTTCGAAAAAAAAAACAAATAATAATGATTAATTTTATTTTGAATAAGTCCATGAAGAAATCCATACTTATTGACCATTCGTTGTTATTTTTTCACTATATTTAGGATTTTTTTTTGTTTATATTTTCTTCCAGATATGTGCTTTTTTTCATTGGAATCAATGCCCGGTTTCATGTAAATCTTGAATAATTAATTATTATCGCACTTGCAAGCATATATTCTGCAAAATCTTAGTTTTTATGAGACACTGTTTTTTGTACTAATTTTAAGTGTCATATTTGAGACGTTCATATTCAAAATCTGTAAAATAAAACAGTGTCATTGCTTAAGATAGCTTGGCTATAAGCTCAAATTATTGTAAACAAAAAATCATTTGGCTCTGACGCCAAGAACATAATAAAAACAAATGAGTTACGAGAGCCACTCGAGTGACATTTGACGAGGGTCGTTTTTGTGTAAGCACGTGCAGTATAAAAAAAATGTACTGGAACATGTGGCGGTTTGCCTTTTATTTTATCACGTAGGTTAGTTTGTTTAATAAATATATAATATTACATCCAGCAAGCGTTTTTTTTTTATCGAAAAATTAAAGTTAAATTTGACTACCCCGTATTATTTTTATTAGAACTCTTAGGTGTAGTATTAGACATTACATAAAGAAATCTATCTTCTTGATAAATCCAATTGGAATTCTACAAAATTCATATTAGATTTAGAGAAAATCAGGTTTTTCTAGACCTAGATCTCGGTTTTACTCGGACTGCTGATTCACCCAATTCCGGTGCAACAGTTGGCGTCAATTGTCATTTTGACAATTTTACTGTCTAAAGGACATTTATGTCTGAAGAAACACTAAATAGACAAAATAAAACAAATCACAGAACTTCACTCCTCGCGTTCCCGCCAAAAAGTCTTGGTGACTGGTGAGCATCTTTGTCATGCCAAGCCATAGATTATACATTTAACTATAATACTAGGCTGCACTAAAAGTATCGGGAATGGAATATTTCCACTGTTCCTGTCATATTAAAATCTTTTTAATTGAAAACTCCTTGGTTTTAAAAATCGAATACCGGTAAAATGGGGCGATCAGGGACAAATTCCAACTTTATGACCAATTTTAAGGTAGTTGTTGATGTATATAATGTTATATCAGGATCAAAATGATTGAGTCTTGGGGGCATCTTTGTTATCCAATTTAAAACTAAGCAACTAGCATTCCAGTTTAAGTAAAAAAAGCAAAAATAGGTGTAATCCCTATTTACCCGGATATTGCGGTTAATTGGGACGAAATGAGAAATTTGCTAGGGTTGGTACTAACTAAATAAATAAATAAATTAAAACCAAGTGTTTTAATTTATTTATTTATTTAGTTGCACCAACAAAGTGATATATGAGTCGTCTATTATCAAAGGTGGCAATCTGTGCATTTGGACAAAAAAATTTATTGATATGTCAGTACAGATTGATTTGAATATAATCGTCTCCTTCAAAGAACACGGTTCAAAACCTGCATTAAATAAAGGTTAATAGTTAACCTGTTATTTATCTAAGATGTCGTTCCGAAGAGTTTTGTGACTGCCAACGGAATACAAAGTCAATAATTCGTTTTTCTGATTTACCAATCATTGTCCAAAAGTCAGATTGCCGGCTTTGATAATAGTCGACTCATATATAGATATAACTAAAACTTGATTACATTTATTTACTCATGGTTAATTTATATTTACTTGAGAAATGATCCGCGACAGATTTTTCCTGTACGTTGTGAGACAATTAAAAAAAAACATCTATTTCAACACTTAAAATTAGTTCAACGCAATCGAACAACTCCGAATGAACATTGACGGAGACCACGCTACCGTGGACATTATTGTTGTCCCAAAGGATTCTGTATATGGGAGAGTAAGCACCTAAATTTGAACGAGTGGGCTTATCTAAAAATAGAAAACAATACGTAACTGATAATATAAATATTTACCAAACAATAAAATAACACATTGATAATTTTAAATAAAAGTTCTAGACAAAAACATCATGAATAAGCCAAATTTTTACGAACAAATTAAAAAAAAATTTGTTATAACTACATAGACAACCCTACAAACCTGTACCTATTTATACTTAGGTCGTTTCCATTTCACGTACTCTCATTCCAATTGACCCCTTTTTCGTTGTTATATGTCGTATATATATAAGTCGTCGTGGCCTAAAGGATGAGACGTCCGGTGCATTCGTGTTGAAGCGATGCACCGGTGTTCGAATCCCGCAGGCGGGTACCAATTTTTCTAATGAAATATGTACTCAACAAATGTTCACGATTGACTTCCACGGTGAAGGAATAACATCGTGTAATAAAAATCAAACCCGCAAAATTATAATTTGCGTAATTACTGGTGGTAGGACCTCTTGTGAGTCNATAAATGATGCGCAGTTCCTGGCTAGCCATTGAACTGCGCAATCATTCGGTAGAACCCCGACAGGAGAGCCCCGAAAGGGCTAGCTCCTGAGGCGATCTCGCGGATAATTCCGGAGATCACCTCAGATAATTTCTCCCAGAGCGCGAGGAGCCATGCAGCAAAGCCGGCAGGTTGTGAGGCCTGCCGACCGCTGCGCTGCTCGCGCTGAGGGCGGGGAGGAAGAGGGGGCAGAGTATTGCCCAACGTCTCGGGTTGGGCTTGAGGCATGGTTTGACCCTCCAATTGTGGAGGGATGGTGCCTTCGGTTACGTTGGCCTCTATGGCCTCCTGAGGTTGTTGGTCGACTTCCATATTGGCGACACTGACTCTCGCCAATTTCTTTTTGAGCTTTTTCTTCTCTTTCTGAACGTCTGCTTCTTTCCATACCGCCGGAAAGATGCAGTGCGTCATAGCAGCATTTAAGATGGTAGCCAACATTGTTATCAGTTGGACTGGTAAGAGTTTTAACGCGCGGTTGCGGATGCCGTCGGAGCCGGGTGCCTTCTTAGGTTGAAGGTTGTCTATTACTTCTCTAACTTCGTCAGAGGTAATGGGGGGTAACGCGTCCGAGGGTGGCAGGGAAGCTCTGCGCTCGACCTCCCTGTCGACTGCCTCGGTGTGTTCGGGGTCCGCGTATTGAGTGCTGGTGGTGNTGTTTTTAGGCAAGTAAAACATCATGAGCTCTGTCTCAGTAACCTGACTACAAAATAATACTCAATCTAAAAGTATATTTAAAACTGGGAAGGCCATTAATATATAGTACTATAGTAATGTTTATTGTCATACCAGGAACACTGTTGACCATTGTGAGTATTGAAAGCCAGTTGGAGATGCTTGTTGGCACATAGAGTACTGCATTATGATTATCATATGATGGCCAAGACCATAATTGTTAGCTTGTATTGCATAACATGGCAAACACACATGGGTTTCCAGTGCCCCAACTCTCTGATGAAGATGCTGAAATTGATGTTTCTTATCAAATTCATAACATTGTATATTTTGGGAGAGAAGAGGAAACACAGCACTTAGCACCATGTCAACATTCAAGGGTGGTTCAATTGGATTGTGGAGAACAGACATTAAATTTATCCAACCTCTGTATTCTAGTAATTTTATGTAGATATTTTTAAAACTGCTGTTCTTAATTATGTAAACTGAGAGGGCAAGAATAGCCTAATTATTTCTGCTTATAATTTTTTAATTGTGCTTAGTGGAAATATACAAACTATTTGAAAGCAAAATTGTGAGGTTGTTTTATTAAGACAATGTTTTAATCTGTCGTGCTCAATTTGTTCTGTATCATTTTATCTTTATGTTAACCCCGTTTGTATGTTGTGTTGTTATATATATTATTGTATATACTGCTGTTTTAAATAATAGAATAGAATGAATAACAAATCGACTAGCTATAATTCTTCTAGATTTTGTTGGATACTTACTTACAAAATGAAAAACATAATTCATAATTTAGACAAAATGTGGATCAACCACCACTGATTATTGTTCATTATGATAAGTTTGATAATTTTTTTTTTTGTGTAATTTCGTTTTATTTGAATAATAATTTTTAAATTAGCAAATCATAGTTTGTTTGTAATACATGTCCAACTTCTTGCCGCATGAAAATTGAAGCCACAATTGAAATATAATATCGACTGTGCCGATAATAACTTCAAAGAAATACATATAACTAAACTTGGGGTCGAGGTAAGTAGGATGATAGCAAGGTGATAGCTCTATAACCCTATAGACTAGAAACAGAACATGCCAAATACTGGTATTCTACTAATGGTAGGACCACTTGTGAGTCCGCACGAGTAGGTACCGACACCCCGCCTATTTCTACCGTGAAGCAGTAATGCGTTTCGTCTTGAAGGGTGGAGCAGCCGTTGTAACTATACTGAGACCTTAGAACTTATATCTCAAGTTGGGTGGCGCATTTATGTTGTAGATGTCTATGAGCTCCAGTAACCACTTAACACCAGGTGGGCTGTAAGCTCGTCCACCCATCTAAGCAATAAAAAAAAAATTGTCATTTTGAAATGCTAAGTTGAGAGTAGTTTTATTAGCGTAAAATATACTCATGAGTTTCATAAAATTTACTGTAGTACCAGCCTAAAGTAAAACGTATATATTTGGATTTGCTTGACTATTATTAAGTAAAAAGCGCTATT